GAATTTGTGTTGGGTAAATGTTTAGGTGAAAAAGGAAGTTTGTAGTCAGTATGTTGCTGTCATATAATTATGATACAAGGGGAAGCAACTCTAATGAACAAATTCGAACTCTTCGCCGTTGGAGATACAACACAGAATTCTAGAACTGTATACCTTAATCCTAATTGTATTTTTTTTTTAGACAATTGTGAGATGTTTTCCCCCCTGACATTTTGTTAGACAGGGAAAGGTCACGGAGAGATATGCAGCCATATAAAAGTTTAGAAACTGTAGAAGCAGACTGTAATATGTTATTGCAGACCTAAAATGTAGGTTAATATGTCTGACAGGAATTGTGTTGTCTGATACAGATTTCAATAGCAGATTCCTGCAGTAAACATTTCCAGAAAATAAAATATAGAGATGTACAGAAAAACACAATACTTGGGCACATGCATGTGTTGTACAAAAAAAATGTATGTCATAATGTGTCGTTTCCAGTTCTTTTCACTTTGTAAATCATATTTAGGGACAATACAGGACTAGGGAATTTTTACTTTCAGCACTTAACCATTGCATAGAGAATATGATAGAATATGAAGGCCATTTAACTCATTCAGCCCTGAAATTTCATAATGAACTATTCCAACCTTTGATTTGGAAGAGTTCAAAAGTGTCTTCAGGGGTTGAATGATTTAAATTGACTCTACTTCAGTAGCTATAGGCTTGTCCTCCTTTAAAGCAAAGAAAGAGCTTAATTTCATGTTAGGAATTAGATGGATACAGATTTTTTTGGGTTGAATGTCAATGAAAGGTCACCTGTTGAACTTACGTAAGATTTAATATAACACCATAATACATCAGTATGATACTACATGTCTTATGTGTAAAAATATACAGAGTTGTTTAGTCTGTCACTCGGACTCTTAAGTAGACCACAGTGTAAAAAGTCTGCCATTTCAAAGACATTTATAGTAAAGCTGAATATTTTCACACATCAAATCATTTCTAAAATGTTGTAATAACATTATGGGCTTTTCTAACAGGATTTCTTGGAAATTTTAAGAACTAATTTCCATAAACGTTTTTGGGGGGATTTAAAAAGGATACATATATCCTTCAAGATTTCTGAAAATTGCATGTTCTCAAAAGTAATCACCTCACAAATTTGACAAAAATATAAAAACAAAAACAAAAGCATTCCTTTGCATTAACTGGAAATTTAATTACATGATGTAGTAATATTACTAACTAAATCAAATCTGGAGTCTTCTGACAGCTTAAAGGACCTAACTAGAATGTACTAGAATTGTATAAACCCTTATAGCCATGCATATGCTGGTGTAGAGAGAGTCTCACAGCCGTCATGAACCCCATCATAATTGATTCTATCTTGATTTCCCTGGTCAAGCATATAAAGCCTCATTCCAGGGGAGTGGTCATCAGCCTCTAAATAAGGTCATTAGCTGGGGAGGAAATGCCATGAAACACTGGCCAGTGTGGCATATGGCTGTGTGGCTTTCATTGGCCCTATAAAACAGTGTTATTGACTGCTGTAACAGAACTGGGGCAGTGTCCAACAGGCTCTTTGCTCCCTATCCAAAGCGCTGAATTGTTTTATCAGCAGTTTTGACGTAGGAGCTGCCATGCTGTGTCAGCTTAGATATTGATAACTCTGCTACACACACAGACAGCTTGTTAGATTGGTGTGGATCAACCTTATAATAACATAAGGGAAGTTCACAGATTGGTTATTGCGTCACAGCCAGAGCATTGTGTGACTTACTGTGACATCAGAGAGGACAGCAAATAAACTGTGTTCAATAAAAACATTGGATTTAACAAAGAAATCAATGCACTGAATTATTTTTCTAGACTGATCATCATAAATGAAATTCATAAAGGCCTAATTAGGCAATATGATTTTCAGTCATACAAATAAATCCATATGCAACAGGAAAAATATTTTACATGCCATGGAAAGTAATATTATGACAGAAAAACGAAAAATTATGGATGCAGAAATGTAGCATTGCAAACAGAGAGATTGATTTTAATCTAAACATGTGACTTTGGGCCACTACGCAGCATGCATGTGTGTTTCTAGGGCCAGTGACTCAGATTCATTTGTTCCTTATAAGAAAAAAAAGTGTTGAACTTGGCTAAAATAGTTATTAGGAGAAATGATATTAAAGAGTTTGCATTTTTAACACGTTGTGTTATTAATTGATTTTTGGCCCTATACACTTTATATAGGAGAAAAGGGATAGATGCCCTGATGCCCAGGGGCAAGTAGATTTTATGATGAGGCTAGTGCCGCTGTCTTATAGGTTAACAATACTACACTGTCATTGTACATGTGTTGCCTCATTAAGTCATCCACACCTGAAATTTCATAATGAACTATTCCAACCTTTGAAGTGGAAGAGTTCAAATGTGTCTTCAGGGGTGAATGATTGAAGAATGCACATATCGTCAAGGTGAAACAGTAATCAGTGGCCTCATTGAGTATGTTCCCAAAAGGTTAAAACTGATAATTTTATGGTGTCGGGGAGGAAGAGGCATGTATTGACCCCTATAATTGTGGGATCTGGTTTAGGATGTCCAGTGGGGAAACTGATTATTTAAAGTATCCCTGTTGTCATTGAAGAGTCCAAAATTGAGATACTGAAGATTTCAACACTCCAATTTCCTCAGGGGATTTAATTGATTTCAAATACAATGCCAGTGAAAATTAGGTCAATCTCCGGTATATTTATTGATTAAATTTTCCTTTTTTTTCTCACTCTGCTCTGTTTTTGCTTCTCATTTGTTTTATGGCGGTGTGTCCTAGATCTCTTGATGAGTTTAATTCTGCACTGCTGAATCAAATTGAATTGAAGATTGCAAGGATTTGGTTATAAAACATGGTCAATACAACTCGATCATTTTATAGCTGTGGTAACTATTAATGGTTGTTTTATGTCAAAATGTACCATATTGATTGGGACTTACATGGGGATTGCTTTCATCAGCAGTAAATATGTGATGCTATAGAACCATGCTCGTGGTTGATGTGGATTTCAGAGATTTGTCCCATTTTGTGGTACGAGATTCCTGTTTACTATCTGCTTTGATTGCACAAGAACAGATAATTCTGACAGTTAATGAAAGGTAGATAAATAGTTTAATTAATTGTTCTAACCGTTTCATGAAAGTAAAAAAAAGTTTGTAACATGAGCAAAACCTTTTCAGGTAGAAACTGTCCTTTATAAATTCTAATACCGAAATGTCAAGATTGATACAATTGGGTTGGCTCCAAAGTAAGAAATCACTCTGGTGTCAGTGTCGTTCCCAGTAATGTTTCCAGGTGATTACCCCTGAAGGAGACCTAATTTTCATATGCTTATAGTATCAATTACCCAGTTTAATTTAAAACCAGATTTGAAAGTTAACATGTCCGCCAAAAAATGGAAGGAGACGCACATCCACCCATGGAATCGTGCTTTAAATTTCTATCGGGATTAAACACATAATTTGGTTCCATATCTTTGATACCTGATTGTGATCTGAGATATTGTACACTGCTTGAACTTGTGTTTAATAATCAAAGCAGCATCATCTGAAAATGCTGAGGAAACACGTTACATAATGAAAGTGTTTTATTTATGACTCATTGAGCCCTGTTGACTGTGTATGAGACCATACTCGGCTAACAAACAAGGTAAAGATCTACTTAATCAATAATACAATGGATCCTGGGTCTAACATTCCTATAATAGCAGGCTGGTAGACTAGTCTCACCTGATAGGATATATAGGTCTATTTTAGCTGCTCTAGCATGGGAGGCTGTAGGCTCTCTGAGATATAACATAGCAGGTTGGTAGACTGGTCTAACCTGATAGGCTATAAGTGGTAGCTGGTCTCCATGGGAGGCTGTAGGCTCTCTGAGATATAACATAGCAGGTTGGTAGGCTGGTCTAACCGGATAGGCTATAAGTGGTAGCTGGTCTTCCATGGGAGGCTGTAGGTTTTCTGAGATATAACATAGCATGCTGATGGTGGTTCTCAGAGTTTTCTATGTCACTTGTGCTGAATGATCCAAAGAGGCTTAGAGTCATGAAAACAGCCACTGGCCACTACGTATATACTCAAGCTTGCTGGTATTGAGTCCTATACAGATTAATGGTCAAGGTCACAGACATCAAATCTGTTAAAACACTTCCTTGTGGCTTCGCCTGTGGCATCAAAAGACCTGGATTCATGAAACATGGCCAGTAGTTTACTGAGATGAAGTACTAGAGTTCTTTAAAATAAATGACCTTGACCTAAATATTCAAGGTCACAGGAGTCAAATCTATTAAAATGCTCATACAGCTTTAAATGTACATGGAGGCCAAGCGGTCAAGGCGTATGACATTCTGCTACCACAAGCCTTCCACCACTGGGTCGCGGGTTTGAGACCTACGTGGGGCAGTCGCCAGGTACTGGCCGTAGGTCGGTGTGTTTTTTTCCGGGAACTCCAGCTTTCATCCACCACCTAAACCTGGCAAGTCCTTAAATGACCATAGCTGTTAACTGGACATAAAACACAAGCAACTCAAACCAAATCCACTATACAAGGGTGTATAATTCCAGTGGCCTGATGTTCAGGGCTGTTACATTTTAGTTGTGGCTGGTGAAAGTTTTTGATATTCAATATTTTCAAAGGTCAGGCCTGTAGGGTTTTCCATGATCTGCATGCAGACTAATGATTTAAACATGAAATTGTACACCCTTGTTGCTGCAGTGTTGCTTAGATAAAAGTTCGTGCTCCTTGGATGAGGTGTTTCATCTATTTAATAATTACCAATATGGAAGAGAATTGCATAATATCATGTACGTTAAACGTTGACGTCCTAAATCTCTGTTTCCTGTTGAGTGTTAGGTTGTTGAAGCTGCAGTGTTAATGAACATTTACAGTGACAGATGTAAACTTTCAAGAACATTTAAAATGAAAAGTGAATTGTTGCCTCATGTAATTTCCTTTTGTTAACTTACAGACGGGGTCAGGGAAGACGTACACCATGGGTACAGGCTTCGATGTTAATCAGAACGATGAGGAGGTTGGTATTGTACCCCGGGCCGTCAGTCATCTATTTCGGGGAATACAGGAACGCCAGCAACAAGCAAAGGAGACCAATGAACCACAACCGGACTTCAAAGTCACAGTCCAATTTATAGAGGTTGGTATTTGTACTTTGTCAGTGTATAGAGGTTGGTATTTGTACTTTGTCAGTGTATAGAGGTGGGTATTTGTACTTTGTCAGTGTATAGAGGTGGGTATTTGTACTTTGTCAGTGTATAGAGGTGGGTATTTCTACTTTGTAAATGTAAAGAGGTGGGTATTTGTACTTTGTCAGTGTAAAGAGGTGGGTATTTGTACTTTGTCAGTCTTTAGAGGTGGGTATTTGTACTTTGTCAGTATATAGAGGTGGGTATTTGTACTTTTTCAGTGTATAGAGGTGGGTATTTGAACTTTGTCATGGTATAGAGGTGGGTATTTGAACTTTGTCAGTGTATAGAGGTGGGTATTTCTACTTTGTAAATGTAAAGAGGTGGGTATTTGTACATTGTCAGTGTATAGAGGTCGGTATTTGTACTTAGACAGTTTATAGAGGTGGGTTTGTATGATAAAATTGGTACAAAGGGAACAGCTTCCTTTCAATGAAAACATTACAACTTTGGAGTGTGCCAGTGAGATTATCAGTTATTTGAACTGTCAACTAAATATGTCTGATGTCTCTGTCATAGAAATGTTAGTGAATGCTTCCGGGAAGCCTAGAAGTTGACTCTGTCTATATGTCTGAAGTTGACTCTGCTGTATGTCTGAAGTTGACTCTGCTGTATGTCTGAAGTTGACTCCGTCTATATGTCTGAAGTTGACTCTGTCTGTATGGCTGTTGCTTTCAGGCAAATCTAATCATCAGGGATATTAACATGGTTAATACTCTGTCAGACCTCTGGTTATACATCGACACAACATCCCTGTTCACTGTTTCTGTATACAAATGATCCAGTAATTAATGTTTAACTTATTTAAAGTATAAATGTTTAATTTCAGTCATTATTCTGTTCTTGTACACTGTACTAGATAGATTATGAGATGTTCAAAATTATGGTTAAAGATAATTAGTGATTAAATCAAAATGTATTCAAAGTATCTGGTAAAACATTGTTGTCCAACTGTTGTTTAGAAACATTTGAAAACTACATTTCTTGTGAAAAAAAATAAAAAATAGAAACATGCACATATATCAACCAGCCTATACTCATAATATTAAGTTTCTGCTTCTATCCTTTGTTGCTGGTGTGTTAGTATTCTTTTGAGTTTTGTCTATTTTTGTACACAAGTATTCCTATCAAATTTCCGTGAAATAATCTTTACGTTTGAAAACAGTGCCCATGCTTTGTGTCCTTATTATAGAACACACAACTCCTTCAGTAGCTACATAACTACCAACATGAGTGGGTAATTGACCTGAATTCTCTTTACAGTGGTTCACAAAATAGAAACAAACCAATTTTGTGTTTCAATTCACTTAAAATCAATGTAAGCGTGCCTTTTATCTATTAGGATTAGTGAGAAGTCCTATCCTTTATAGTATAAACAAATGTATATGACATTATGTACTGTTTGTAGTTCTCTGTTGTGGGATCTCTATCAATTTTGCGAGGGTATAGAACACAAATAGTTGTGTATATAATGATACCCCTGGTGGCTATCAAATTCTGATAGATTTCTTCCATAAATGGGTTTTACAGGCTAAGACAGCTCAAAGACAATGAAAATATTTGATTATTTAACTGAAAATTGAAACTATTTAGATAAGAAACCATCATGAAAATACAGTTTAGAGATGAAACTAAAGTGATATTACTCCTATCGTTTCAGAATGTACAATCTCAAAAACTAGATTCCTATCAAACGTAAACATATAGAAAAGTGACTTATAATCTTTTGTTATACATTGTTTTGTTTATGGCTGAAAAACAACATAAGGTTTGCTGTTTACATGAAATAGATTGAGAAGGGAGATTTTGTGGAGAACAGAGAAGGGTGATTTTGTGGAGGTCTATATACAGTAACAGAGAAGGGAGATTTTGTGGAGCCCTATATACAAAAACAGAGAAGGGTGATTTTGTAGAGCCCTATATACAAAAACAGAGAAGGGTGATTTTGTAGAGCCCTGTATACAGTAACAGAGAAGGGAGATTTTGTGGAGCCCTATATATACAGTAACAGAGAAGGGAGTTTTTGTGGAGCCCTATATACAGTAACAGAGAAGGGGGATTTTGTAGAGCCCTATATACAGTAACAGAGAAGGGGGATTTTGTAGAGCCCTATATACAGTAACAGAGAAGGGACATTTTGTGGAGCCCTATACAGTAACAGAGAAGGGAGATTTTGTGGAGCCCTATATATACAGTAACAGAGAAGGGAGTTTTTGTGGAGCCCTATATACAGTAACAGAGAAGGGGGATTTTGTAGAGCCCTATATACAGTAACAGAGAAGTGTGATTTTGTAGAGCCCTATATACAGTAACAGAGAAGGGACATTTTGTGGAGCCCTATACAGTAACAGAGAAGGGTGATTTTGTGGAGCCCTATATATACAGTAACAGAGAAGGGTGATTTTGTGGAGCCCTATATATACAGTAACAGAGAAGGGAGTTTTTGTGGAGCCCTATATACAGTAACAGAGAAGGGAGATTTTGTGGAGCCCTATATACAAAAACAGAGAAGGGTGATTTTGTAGAGCCCTATATACAGTAACAGAGAAGGGTGATTTTGTAGAACCCTATATATAGTAACAGAGAAGGGAGATTTTGTAGAGCCCTGTATACAGTAACAGAGAAGGGAGATTTTGTGGAGCCCTATAAACAGTAACAGAGAAGGGTGATTTTGTGGAGCCCTATATATATAGTAACAGAGAAGGGTGATTTTGTAGAGCCCTATACAGTAACAGAGAAGGGAGATTTTGTGGAGCCCTATATACAAAAACAGAGAAGGGTGATTTTGTAGAGCCCTGTATACAGTAACAGAGAAGGGAGATTTTGTGGAGCCCTATATATACAGTAACAGAGAAGGGTGATTTTGTAGAACCCTATATATAGTAACAGAGAAGGGAGATTTTGTAGAGCCCTGTATACAGTAACAGAGAAGGGAGATTTTGTGGAGCCCTATATACAGTAACAGAGAAGGGTGATTTTGTTTGGAGGCTTTGATAGAGAAATGGACATAGAGACATATGAGTAATAACATTTTTATTAGGCAGCTCCTCAATATCAGTCTGTTTGCTGGGAGAGTTTCTCAATGTACAAGTGTTGGTAACAGTTACACAACTGTATTTGAAACAAACAACAACAACACTCGTTATTTGTTCTTGCTTGTGTGCAACCGTCCATATAGAGTTCTCTCAGTGGTATTAAGTGAAATATTATTCCAGATATTTGAATAATTTTGAAAATTCTTTTTGAACATAATGTAGTAGTTGTGTGTGGAGGACCTATAGGAGTGTGTTCGAGTCACTAACCCTTTCACCACTGTAGACTATAATGGACTCATCCAGATCAATGCATGGTAGAGTCTACTAAAGTTACATAGGGGTGAAAGGGTTAATGGTGGGTCTGTAATACTTCACTTGTACCAGCATTTTATCAGGTGGTTTAATGTAGCAGCTCCTGTAAACGTTCATCTCAAACTTCATGTTTATATTTCATATTCCAGTTATTATCCCCTCACACCGAAAGTATGTATGCTACACACTTTGTCATCGCTCTAGCGACTTCATTCCACCACGGAATTTCATGAAACGTCATACAAGTGTTTGGTATAGCAATGCCTTGAACAAGTTCTTGTTTCGGGTTTCTACTTTGAAGGTCAAGGTCACTGTTATTATTTTAAAAAACACTTTGTCATCGCTCTAGCAACTTCATTCCTCAACGGAATTTCATGAAACTTCATAAAAGTGTTTGGTATAGCAATGCCTTGAACAAGTTCTCGTTTCAGGTTTCTACTTTGAAGGTCAAGGTCACTGTTACTATTTAAAAAAAAAAAAAGTCATCGCTCTAGCAACTTCATTCCTCAACGGAATTTCATGAAACTTCATACAAGTGTTTGGTATAACAATGCCTTGAACAAGTTCTCGTTTCGGGTTTCTGCTTTGAAGGTCAAGGTCACTGTCACTATTTAAAAAAAACCTAAGTCATCGCTCTAGCAACTTCATTCCTCAACGGAATTTCATGAAACGTAACACAAGTGTTTGGTATGGCAATGTCTTGAACAAGTTCTTGTTTCGGGTTTCTACGTTGAAGGTCAAGGTCACTGTTACTATTTTTAGAAAAAACTCTGTCACCACTCTAGCGACTTCATTTCCTCATACCTATGTCACAATGTGTGAATGCGAGGGGATTTGTATCACTTTTGATGCCTTGCTAAATTATTTTACCCAGCTATGTAACCCTTTGTCTTTTGTTTCAACTTGCAGCTATACAATGAAGAGATTTTTGATCTGCTGGACATCACTCGGGATCCAGAATCAAGAGTAAGTTTGATGGTTATAGCAATGCACAGCATCAGTATTCATAAAGGGTCAGCTGTTGGCAACTTCTTGAACGAGTCGCAGAAATGGTAAAAATGTGACATAACAGACTGTGAACGAGTCGCAGAAAGGGTAAAAATGTGACATAACAGCCTTTGAACGAGTCGCAGAGATGGTAAAAATGTGACATAACAGATTTGAATGAGTAGCAGAAATGGTAAAAATTTGACATAACGGACTTGAATGAGTCACAGAAATGGTAAAAATGTAACATAACGGACTTGAATGAGTCGTAGAAATGGTAAAAATGAGACACCAGACTTTGAACGAGTCGCATAAATGGTAAAAATGTGACATAACAGATTTGAATGAGTAGCAGAAATGGTAAAAATGTCCCATAACAGACTCTGAACGAGTCGCAGAAAGGGTAAAAATGTGACATAACGGACTTGAATGAGTCACAGAAATGGTAAAAATGTCCCATAACAGACTCTGAACGAGTCGCAGAAAGGGTAAAAATGTGACATAACGGACTTGAATGAGTCACAGAAATGGTAAAAATGTGACATAACAGACTTTGAGCGAGTCGCAGAAATGGCAAAAATGAGACAACAGACTTTGAACGAGTCTCAGAAATGGTAAAAATGTAACATAACGGACTTGAATGAGTCGTAGAAATGGTAAAAATGAGACATACCAGACTTTGAACGAGTCTCAGAAATGGTAAAAATGTAACATAACGGACTTGAATGAGTCTCAGAAATGGTAAAAATGTAACATAACGGACTTGAATGAGTCTCAGAAATGGTAAAAATGTAACATAACGGACTTGAATGAGCCGCAGAAATGGAAAAAATGAGACATAACAGTCTTTGAACGAGTCGCAGAGATGGTAAAAATGTGACATAACGGACGTGAATGAGTCGCAGAAATGGTAAAAATGTGACATAACAGATTTGAATGAGTCGCAGAAATGGTAAAAATGTGACACAACAGAGTTATCAAACTGTGAAGAGATTTTCTTATTTTGATTAGAACAGATCATATGACGTTTGAATGTCCTTTCCAGAATATTCACCAAGTGTAAGTTGTATGATGGTGGTAATAATTACTTGACTATGAGGAGACATCATAAATACACAGTATTTTAAAGTTTCGTTTAATAATGTCTAACCGTGTGAGTACGTTTAGGTAAGTGGACTTGTCACTCAGGTTTTCATACCTTAATGTACAATAATTGTTTTGTTCCAGGGGAAGAAGTCCCATGTTAAGATCCACGAGGATGCGACAGGAGGAATTTACGTAGTAGGTGTAACAACACGGCCAGTTATATCTCCGCAGGATGTAAGTGACATACAATCTCCTATCATTCCGTAACCCTTGACACTTTTAATCATTCAGAGTGCTTAAAAACTGTCAAAAACTGTTGTTCAAATAAATTACCTAAGCCCACTTTCATTGTCGCAAGGGTCATAATATATATACCTTCGATGACTTGTATAGATCTTTGAGGCATAGATATCATTAGCTCATTCACCCCTATAGACACATTTGCACTCTTCTAATTCAAAGGTTGGAATAGTTCATTATGAAATTTCAGGGGTGAATGAGCTAATGTGTTCAAGTTACATATTGGTCAAACAGACAGAGTTATGAGGTCTAGATTCAGAATTATGAGGTCTAGATTAACAGTATTTGTCTGTCATTTTCCTGGTATAAAATGCTCTGAGCATTTCAAATAATTCACCTTGACTCGCATTCAAAGTAACATGTCATAGGTCAATTTTTTTTAAGGCTACAGAGTTTTGGTCCATAGCATGCTTGATTTATGCACTATAAAGATTATTTAAATGAATGACTTTGACCCATATTCAAGGTCAGAAGAGATCCATTGTATGTAAATCTTTATCAATTCTTCTAACAAACTCTAAGGGCCTGTAATGTTTGGTCCATTAGGTTGCTGGGATGGAGTGCTACATGTACACAATGAATTTTGTTCAGATAAATTACCTTGACCCACATTCAAGGTCATAGGGAATCATGTGTGAAGTTTTTCAGCAGAGCTATATATACCGGCCCCTTTGGTTTATTATTTTCGTAAAGATTTTTGTAAAAGTTTTCATTGGGTTATTTCTAAACCTCCTTATTAGGATGAAAAAACCTGATGGACAAATAGCGCGAGATTTCATTATAGATATAGTACCAAGAATCCCGAAACATGATTTGCATGATCCTTTGCCGTTTCTATAATTTGCACAAGAAATTTGGTTTTATTGGTTGGAAAATTCGGCAAAAGATTGAAGAGTCAGTTTTCTGTGGTCCTGGCTTGCTGTATAAGCTCTCTGATAATTTGTTTTGTTGATGTTTCAGACTATGCAATGTTTAGAAAACGGTGCTTTATCTCGGTCCACTGCCAGTACCAATATGAATGCTCAATCGTCACGTTCGCACGCCATCTTTACCATCACTATAAAACAACACCGTGTTGTCAAGGATGAGGTGGGTCAATTTGTATGACGATTTCGATAATTTATTGATACATAATTATCATGTTATTCACTTATGTCTATATGCTACCTTACTGTGAAGTAAATCTCTATCCCGAAAGACTTTTGCTGCTAGAAAGCCTGTAAAATATCTTTTAAATAAATGTAATAAAATAATATATAATTTGAAAATATTAATTAATAATATTAAAATGTCAATGTGAAAATCCTTTGTTTAAATGTTTTGAATTAGTCACATATAAAAAAAAAATAAAAAAAAATATTAGACAATTAAATTCATCTACTATTTATTCTTTTGAATTCTTAGTGTCTTGATGAAGATGGTAAAGAGACAGATTCCACGCAAGACCTGAATGAATTTGAGACGTTGACAGCCAAGTTCCACTTTGTAGACTTAGCCGGCTCTGAGAGGCTGAAGAGAACAGGAGCGACAGGTGATCGTGCCAAGGAAGGAATCTCCATTAATTGTGGTTTGGTATGTCTGCTACTATATCACAGTCCTGTGGATTTAGGCAACTGAGGCTGATGATATTAAACGTTTTTCTTCCATGTAATTACATTCAAAAGTCCTGGGCCCGTATTCATGAATCCGTTCTCAAGCTCAAGCATGGATTTTGCATTCAAGCTGAATTCCTTGTTCCCATTGTAGATTAACAGAAAAATCTTATTTTGTCAATGATGTCGAAAAACATTGAAGAGACTTAAAGGCAAATACTATTTTCAATGTTTACATTTGACTTTTTGATTGTTTGACATGATTTAAATGAGTTACAAGAAAGTTGGTTTGAGCACAGAATCCACTCTTGAGCATGAGAAGGGTTTCATAAATACGGGCCCTGTAGTCTAGTGGAACTGCAAATATGGGTTCATCCGATATCACCAGAATCTATACACTTGACAGACACCTGTCAAGCGTATCGCATTCCTAACCATTTCAAATCCTTCCAATTGATAATTGAAAAGGGAAAACTATCTTAACTTTCATTTTACACAAAAGAAATGGCAAGTGTTACAACATTTTGATTTAGCAGTTCCGGAACTGGCGCACTTATTTCAGATAGAATTATCCCTCATTCGTGATCCATATTGGACAAAAGCATCTTTTATACAAAAATGTCAGAGAATTATTTCTCTTCAAAATTATTTAACCGTCCTGTTTTGAAGTTTGGCTGCAGTACATCCCAGTTAATACCCATTAAATATTAAATTTAATGAGCCGTATAGTGTGTCTCTGAAAGTTGTTTGTTACATGATTTGAATAAATATTTTTTTGTTGCAGCTTGCCCTTGGGAATGTGATATCAGCTTTAGGGGATAAAACCAAGAAAGGATCTCATGTCCCTTATAGGGACTCCAAGCTCACGCGACTTCTCCAAGATTCTTTAGGAGGAAATAGGTTTGTGAAATCAAAAGCAGACCTGTCGAATAATTTGGAAGAATAAAATCTTGTTCTGCGTTATTGTTGCATGAGTTTATCAAAGTAGATGTTTATATTTTTTCGTATTTTGAGAGAAAAAATTAGGAAATTTATTAAAATCATAAATATTTAATATGACAAAAAAATCAGATGCTTTAATGATTGCTTTTACATGTAATTCTGCTCAGCACTTGCCCCATTCTGATATTATGTCACAGACATCCAGTTATCATTATGAATAGGATTTGATATTTAATATTAACCTATAATATTAGCATAGTTTTTGTCTCGCCGCCATGAAGTAATCGAAGCGAGACTAAGGTGTTGCTTTTCTGGCGACTGCGGTGTCAGCATTAAGTTTTTGGGTTTAAGTTAGTTTCACTGAAAGTATAAAAAAATTTGGACCATAGATGCATATTAGGTGGTACATTTCAACCCATGCATCAAATGCTGGATGCGGCCTACTTTTCATGGTCCATTGACTTTGTCAACATCATCATCATCAACATTTTATCTTTAAGGTAGTTTCTCTGAAACTATAAGACATTAGTGCTAGACCAACCAAAGTTGACATGTGCATTGATTTGGTCAAAGCGGGGCAGAGGCAAGATATATCAATCCAAATGGCTGGTATTTAAAACAAACGGATAAATTACAACAATTTAACCAAGTTTGACAAACGGAATGATAAAGTTGTACAATGACATTTATGGATACATCTGAGATTGATATTGAATGTATTGTTTCTAAACTAATATGTCTTCTCTTTCTTTTCAGTCGGACGTTAATGATAGCGTGTATATCTCCGTCTGATCGTGACTTTATAGAGACACTTAATTCACTTAAATATGCCAATAGGGCACGCAATATAAAGAACAAAGTGATAGCTAACCAAGACAAGGCCAGTAAACAGTTGGCCGCACTTCGCTCAGAGATAACACTACTACAGCAGGAACTGATCGACTACAAAACGGTGAGTCGGGGGCGGGATACAGTGTATCATAGTGGGGCAAAATATTGAGCAGGAGACACAAGGCTTTGTGGGGCGGGGGCGGGATACAGTGTATCATAGTGGGGCAAAATATTGAGCAGGAGACACAAGACTTTGTGGGGGTTCTTCTGCTCAATATTTTATCCTGAAAGTTTGAACGACCATTAAAACAGCTGCTCTTCCAGTAAAGTTGTTAACTGTCCGCACATTTCTCATTTGCATATGAAGCCTGAATGGCATTTGTTAATGATGTCAAATGACCCTGACGGACTAAAAATATCATAAACATGAACAATAGCGTGACCCTGAAAGGTCACTCTAATTCCCTCGCCAGTCTGCGCATGTAAGCGATCAAGATCTGTGGGTCGAATAGAATTTTCCAGCACTGTCAGAAATGTGGATATCTCTGTCTGGTTTGCAAGAAATGTCTGTACACCATTCGCTTTTACAAGAATTGAGGTTAAGGGACGGAAAAGGAGTAGGACCAGGTTTAACTGAACTTAGAAAGTTGAATACCAATCCCACTGAAATAGCTGATTCTGAATCCAGACCAGTGGGAGTACCAGCAGTACTGATTTTGTAACAGGTTGAATACCACGATAATGCAAACATTATCTCCTCGTACAGTCAGATTTGAGTTCAATGAATTACACTGTATGCATTTTAACATAAGCTTTTGTTACATCAGGTCATCCCAGAAAACATGTTATAATAACAGGTAAATGTGTGATGACTTCATGGAGATTTAAATTTTGGACGTCATTTTCCACAGGGTAAACGAGCAGTGGACGCCGATGGTGTGGAAAGTGTAAATGACATGTTTCACGAAAATTCAATGTTGCAACACGAAAACGAGAAGTTAATGCTACGAATTAAAGCCCTGAATGAAGCTAACGAAACACTAAAGGAGAGGAACACCCAACTACTAAGGGAGAGGGAGACTCTCGGCATCCTCAATATAGCAGGTAAACTATAAATGGTGATAACAAACAGGTATTACCTACTGGTCAGCTAGAGACACTTGATGAGTTCCTCAATATAATGGATACCAGGGGCCTGTTTGTTTATGTGGAACAACCGGTACAACCGTTTTTAAATGAAACATTTTTGGGTATTAATCCTGGCAGACCTGCAAAAGTTTATGCAGGCCTTGCAAGGCATGGTCAAGGCTCGCCTGAAAGCACCATCAGATTACTGGGTCAGACCTTATTTAATGAACTCTGGTCCATCCGGTTCAACCGTTTGGACCGTAATAAACGAAAATGGCCTACGTCAACTTATTGAACAGATTTCATCTACAGATCAACTGATTATCAAGTCCCATTACATTACAGAAACATGACTTATCTCCCCTTGCCCACTTCACACAAGTTCCTTTACACATATACTGCTTTTTTAGGTCACCTGAGCTTTAGCTCAAGTGACCTATTGCTATCCGTTTTCGTCCGTCGTCGTCCGTTAACATTTTACATTTCAAACTTAAAGTCAAGTTCTGCTGGACCGATTGAACTGAAAGTTGGTAGGAATGATCAAATCATGGTCCTGATAAAGAGTTGTTATTTTTCGGGTCAATCAGAAATACAATTTGGCTGCCATGGCCGCTATTTTGCTACTAAGTTCTAATTTGCTGATCTCACTTAAAATTGGTCTAGGAATGATCAGGTCATGGTCCTGACAAAGTGTTGTTTTTTTTCGGGTCGATCAGAAATCCAATTTGGCCGCTACGGCCGCCATTTTGAAATCCTATTTCAAACTTAAAGTCAAGTTCTGCTGGGCCGATTGAACTGAAATTTAGTAGTAATGATCGCCTCATGGTCCCGACAAAGTGTTGTTATTTTTCGGGTCGATCAGAAATCCAATTTGGCCGCTACGGCCGCCATTTTGAAATCCTATTTCAAACTTAAAGTCAAGTTCTGCTGGACCGATTGAACTGAAAGTTGGTAGGAATGATCAAATCATGGTCCTGATAAAGAGTTGTTATTTTTCGGGTCAATCAGAAATACAATTTGGCTGCCATGGCCGCTATTTTGCTACTAAGTTCTAATTTGCTGATCTCACTTAAAATTGGTCTAGGAATGATCAGGTCATGGTCCTGACAAAGTTAAGTTAACGTTATACTATTTTTTACTCAAATTGGTACGTATTTCAACAACAAAAATAAATACTATAGACTCAGGTGACCGTTAAGGCCCATGGGCCTCTTGTTGTTCTAACTACATACGAAGTCTGCCAACCTGACATTCACTTTATAATTTTCCAACATCCAACATAATGCTTATGTACTTAATAAGAAAAAAATGCCGACAATTTCTTTTGAGATTATTACTCATCTTAGTAAAATTGAATTATCTGTAAATAGATTGAACTTTAAATTTTATGACAAAAAGAGGCATTTATGTCTACATGTACTGTTCTGTAAGACAAATCTAATTCCAGCGTAACATTGATTCTTGACATAATAACAAGTATACATGATCATTATACTTCAATATGTTCAAGTGAAACTTGAAAGTGATTCCAGTTTAATGTACTTTGCCTAATGCTACTTCACAGAGGATGCTAGAGCAGGTGAAGTACAGAAGCTAATAGAAGGATATTTAAAAGAGACAGAAGAGTTAAGGTAAGGCAATTTTACATGTCAGAATGTATATGTCTGTAGGTTCCAGTAAATGTTTTCTCCTGTTATTTTGTGAAAATCTAATTAAGTTGAAAGATTTGTAACTTGCTATCCAGAAATTAATTTTCCTCTTTTGAAGGAGTTTATTATAGAAGAAATATATTCAAAACATGTCATTCTAAATTCAGATTAGTAAAACTACTTTATACATAATCATTTCTGTTGCCTGTATTGTTCTTCATTTAAATCAGACCGGTATTTTGTGGAAAGTATATACGAAGTATGATTTGATTGTTGATAGACATATCACAAGTTTCAACATGGAGTAATTATCAGTTATGCTTCAGCCTTTGGTTTAGTAGGCTTTGTATTTGTAGTTAAAACTTTTGAATTGGAAGAGTTCAAATGTACTTCAGGGGTGAATGGGTTAATTTGAAGACAAAGGAAAGAAAAGGTTTGGAATAGTTCATTATGAAATTTCAGGGGTGAATGAGTTACGAAAATATCTCTTGTAATGAATTGTCCTGTTACTACTTCACACAGAGGTAAACTAGCTGAGTCCGAAGCGATGTTACACTCGGTAAAGCGACGCCAGATGTCGTCAAGAATGGCAATGGCGCCAATGTCTCCTATCCAGCAGTTCAGTAGCATGAACCTGAGTGGAAGTATGAGTATAGAGACTCCCGACCCCGACAACATGATCACCTCAATACTGGAGGAGGCCAAGAAAGACATTAAACAGCTCCGCAAAACACGCCGGGCCAAGTCACGACATGGTCACAGGTTAGCAGGAATTTAAAATTTATGTAAATTGGATGAAAATTGAATTTATAAATATTTACTGAAGAGTCAGCTAATCAAATTTTTAAGAAAATTTGTCTGTTTGATGTTATTAAACAATTCTGTTTTCAATTTTGGAAGATATTCAGCTTTAAGATTAGCATTCTATGAGTTTGTGTTATATCAAAGTCGTTGAGTTACATAATGTCTTAGCGATCAACTGCGTTAAAGACCTTATATGTAATGTTTAACTTTTTTGTTTTTTCCATAAAAAAAAACATATTTACAAACAATAAATAGTTACAACTTACGTTATTTACAATATATAATTGTATATGGACAAACGAATGCTATTCGTATTTTACCACTTTTTGGAGATTTCTTTTTAAAATCTGAAAGCTTTGTTTGTATAAGGGAAGTCTCATTAAGAGAGGGGCAAGCGCTTATAAAAACATAGTTCGGTGCTTTATGATCCAATCAAAACTACTATGTGCTACACTGTCGTTTGTTTTTTTGCAACATCTCTTTTGGATGTATTTCATTTTTCCCTGGTGACTGGTCATACTATTTGACCCCACAATAGGAAATTGGTTGCATGTTACCAAAATGGAAATTTAAGTAACATATTCTGTCTATGGGTAGAGTCCACAGGGTTCTATTTAAACGGCTCCCATCTCCCATCCAATACATGTAGAGCTATTTAATCCCTGTGTATAAAAGCTTGTCTTCTCTTTGATTAAATGTGTAAATTATCTCCCTTGTTCTGCAGTAGTGACAAGGAGAATATCAGTGGGGATGAGAAGGAACAAAACGAGTCTGAATCTAAAGTAGGGGAGGAAGGCGAGGAGAACAAAGACGATGGAGAGAAAGAACAAGGCGAGGAGGAGGAAGAGGATGGAGAACAGAATGGAGAGGTAAACACCGTGACGAGGGCTAATATCCTTTATCAAATTTTGAGTGAATTCACTGGTTGGACAAGAGGTTCTTCATTGATGAAGTAGGGCCTAGTGATCTGTTGATTTCTGACGGGCTGAGGAAATACTTAAATGAGCTTGAACTTCTTAATGTTTACACCTGGAAATATAGCATATAAAATGATTTAATTGGTCTTGCCAGATAAACAAGAACACATGTGTTCTTTAGAAGTTGTATAGTATTGCCATGTTGTTTACAGTGTTTGGGCATGAGTGGATAGATAAGTATCATGAATATAGTGGTTTATTCTGAAAACATGTAAAAATGTCATTTTATTGTCATCTGATGCTGTTCTTACCCATTTTAAGATGCAAAAATGGAAATGAATATTTTCATACTTGCCAACTTTTTAAAAATTTCTATGGGGGAGATTACGCGTGCTCAGGATTAAAAAACATAAACAATATGTGTGTATGAACACACATGGGAAAAATAACACTTTAAAATGGCATTTTTTGAGCTGTTCTTTCAGATGATCCTAAATAGGGATTGTTGTCAAGTATGTATTCTAACAACAATTTAACTTTGACTGAGGACAACTCATGAACAAGATATTTTCTGTACTGCCATATGGTTGATGTGGAAATATTTTCACAAATACTGGTACATGAAACTTGTCAACAAAGTACATTACAATGTTTTCTGTACTGTCATATGATTGATGTGAAATTATTTCATTATATGCTGGTATACATGAAGCTTGTCAACAAAGTACAGTACAATGTTTTCTGTACTTCTGTACAGATATGCATCCTATAGGAAAGTATCTCTTGGTATACTATTAACAGACGAGTGGGTGTTACAGGATGATGGGACTAATTATGTTGATGTATAGGTTTTAGAGGAGGACGACCTGGAGGAGGAGCTAGAGGATCTTGACAACTCATCTGAGGAGGAGGAGGAAGAGGAATCGGAGGATGAGGACAAAGGTACATAGCCTATAGCAGTGGTATACTCAGTCTAAGGGGTGGAGGATATACAGTAACAAATGTTTATATTAGTTGTTTATTATTCTTAAAGTCCTACAATGATAGGACCAATGTAACATTCAAATGAAAACAGTAATATATTTACTCGAGACCGGTGTCATTTTAACATCAAACTAGTGTAATATTGAATAAGAATATTTACGTAAGACCAGTGTAACGGTTACATGACATTGACATATTAACCTGAGATCCCTACTGTTGTATATTAACCTGTTGTATCTTGTTTGTCTAGTGCAACTGTTCCTGGATTATTGGTTAGAGTGGGCAGGTACATCGTCACTCCTTGCTCAAACACCTCCTAGTCAATGGTTGTCTAGCTACTGTTGTGTTTTTTTGTGATCGTGACAAAAAAAAATTGTGATTTTTAGTTGTATGTTGTTGACAATTTACCTATCATCATTAGCAAATCTCTTCTGTTTATTATTTCTCTCTTCATATCTCTGAATCATCCTATTATTCACATCAGCATACCATTTAGTGATGTGTAGTATCCCGTGTAAGTCTGTAGCTGTCTCCAGATAGATTCTGTTAGGTGTAGCCGTGAACGGTTTGTCATCTCTCCTGTTTGATGGTTATGTAAAGCATTTAGCTGTAAAACATTCTGTATTTCATTTGTTGTCAAACCTGATATAAAATTGTACAATAGATTATTAAAACTCATTTACCCCTGAAGACACGTTTGAACTCTTCCAATTTAAAGGTTGGAATAGTTCATAAGGAAATTTCAGGGGTCAATGAGTCAATTGCCTTTTTACATGATCATGAAGTGAGTACCTTACCCTGTAGAAAACAAATTACTACCACTCAACATCAGTAGTGAACTTATTGGATAGAACCTCAGAGGATTAAATGGGAATTACCCCTTCATGGACTGTAAGCTTGGACACATCAGTGTGTCAGTATGACCACACATGTATACTTACACTCCGGTTGAGTGGGAACAGATATCTACAGTAATTCAGGTGTACAGGGTAAGATAAGGAATAGACCATATTTTCTTGGACTAAAAGTAAGTGTTACAGATCAAGAGAGGAACACTTTCATTTCATTCACCCCTGAAATTTCATGATGGACTATTCCACCAACCTTTGAATTGGAAGAGTTCAAATGTGTCTTCAGGGTTGAATGAGTTAAGTAACCTTGCAAATATTTTATAATGACGTTTTTCCCGTGTATACATGTATAATATATTATTGACCTGATAAAACTAATGCAAAAGACATTAGTTCCTTATTTTTCATCCCACAGCCATCTACATTAGATTTAGAATCAGGATTATGTTGCTAGGCTTTAAATATTATTTTTGTGCTTAATTTTCATTTTTTTTTTCAATTTGTAACAGCATTGTTGCAAAACTCTTACAAACCTGTCTTGGTTGCAGAAAACTACAGAGATGGAAAAAAAACTAGAATAAAAGTGTTGATTGTTTAATATAGTTAATTATGCCAGGAGTAGGAGAAACTTGTCCCTTAACTCATTCACCCCCAAAGACACATTTGGACTCTTCCAATTTAAAGGTTGGAATAGTCCATTATAAAATTTCAGGGTTGAATGAGTTAATTGTATCATTAGAGTCACCAACACTGATAGCAGTACCTTAAGTCATGTGACTGGTTTGTTCTTCATGCATGAATATAAAAACAGATGATATGGGTTTTGGTTGAAGTTTACTGGATACTTTGAAATATCACTCTGTTTTATCTCATCATTTCTCACCTCATCAAATCTACTGCTCTCATCTCTATGATTTCATCAGTACCACACTTGTAGTAATTTTATTTCTTAAAGGCAAAACTGGAATGCATGTGGTTTAAAAAAAAAATCAAAAAAATCTGTCTTTGTTGAAAATATAGTAGCATATCATATTTGAAATCAATCAATATTATAATATTCAATATTACATTTTGAAAACATGCACAATTGAAAATTCAGGGGAATATTAATTATTATACAAACAGAAACAAAATAAACAGATTTTATTGCTAAAAATGTATCTTATGTTTCAGTCTCTTATAAGATTATATTTTTATATTATCATAATCCTGAACTGATATGGACATATTTGGTAATATTTTCCTCGGTAGATACATTATGATAACTGTGTTCATCAAACCTAGATGACATTAAGAGTTACAGCAAATTATTGTTGTTCATTTCACAGACTCCGATAACATTCACGAAGATTTAGCAGAACTGACGTGTGAAATCTCCATCAAACAAAAGCTTGTGGAGGAACTTGAGCAGAGTCAGCGTCGACTACATTCCATGAAAGTCCAATATGAGGATAAGGTTTTACTTCTACAAAACAAGATTAAGGCCACAGAACAGGAACGTGACAAAGTACTGTCCAATATCAGTAAGTATAGGATTATCCAGTACCAAATCTTAGTCTGAAATATGACATGTCTGGTGACAGGGCAGGCACCATATCCAGGTCCATGGAATTCTTGTATAGAATTATTTTGCCCCCTAGACTAGAATATTCTTATGCCACCAGTGCTGGAAAATTCTATTCTACCCATGGGTCTTACCCAAGGCTTTGCTGAGGGTACGACTTTCGAGAATATCATCTATCCTGTTTCTCTCACAAATCCACCCGACACGCGGTGATTGCATGAAATATATTAAGCATTGATTGCATGTTTTTCTAGCAAATCCAGAGTTGTCTTCCATGGTCTGCATCTGTTGACATGACGTAAATGCATTGATGACTTGACGTCATACTATTGTTATGACTTAGATCGCGCCATTCTTTATGAGGCTATCTCCCCTTAGGGAGTGACAAGCTGATCTTTTTCGGCTCAAAAGGGAAACACACCTGTGAAGGGTGGGAGAAATGTTAGTCAACCCTGTCCATTATTAGTTATTATCAAAATACCAGTTAATTATGCTTCACTTTCTAAATGTTTTCCTGGCATTTATTACAAAATGCATATGAGTCTACTATTCTGTTTTGTTAATATCTTAGACTGGTGTTTCTGTTTAAATCCCAGAATTAATGACGAAGCACTGTCTTTATAAAGTTTAATGCCTCGACTGTGGGAGTTGGGGGGAACTATTGAAATGAATTTTATAAGTATATACAAATAACTTATAAATCCAGTGTAATACACGTTGTTTGAGTAGTTCTTTATTTTATTTACAGATCAAGTTTCGACAACCAACCAGGACCAGGTGAAGAAAGTGAAGGTGGAATTTGAGAAGAAGTTATCGATTCTCACGACAGATCTGAAGAAGATGCAGGCAGCCAAGAAGGACCATGCCAAACTTGTCAAAAATCAGTCACATTATGAAAAACAGTTAAAAACCCTCCAACATGAGCTTGGTGAAATGAAAAAGACAAAGGTGGGCATTTTGGAGTTATCTGATACCATCACCTGAATCAGTATAATTCACTGTTTTGACCCTGAAATAATTGTTATGATCGTGACATAATGCTTCAGTTATTGAGAAGATAGGGTTTCAGTTTTTGATAATAACCTATTTGGGACTGGTATCAATATTTTGAGAAGAAAGGGTTCCAATTTGTGATAATAACGTATTTAGGTCTGGTATCAATGTTTTTGAGAAGAAAGGGTTCCAATTTGTGATAATAACCTATTTAGGTCTGGTTTCAATGTTTTTGAGAAGAAAGGGTTCCAATTTGTGATAATAACCTATTTAGGTCTGGTTTCAATGTTTTTGAGAAGAAAGGGTTCCAATTTGTGATAATAACCTATTTAGGTCTGGTTTCAATGTTTTTGAGAAGAAAGGGTTCCAATTTGTGATAATAACCTATTTAGGTCTGGTTTCAATGTTTTTGAGAAGAAAGGGTTCCAATTTGTGATAATAACCTATTTAGGTCTGGTTTCAATGTTTTTGAGAAGAAAGGGTTCCAATTTGTGATAATAACCTATTTAGGTCTGGTTTCAATGTTTTTGAGAAGAAAGGGTTCCAATTTGTGATAATAACCTATTTAGGTCTGGTTTCAATGTTTTTGAGAAGAAAGGGTTCCAATTTGTGATAATAACCTATTTAGGTCTGGTTTCAATGTTTTTGAGAAGAAAGGGTTCCAATTTGTGATAATAACCTATTTCGGTCAGGTATCAATGTTCTGAGAAGAAAGGGTTCCAATTTGTGATAATGACCTATTATGGTCTGGTATCATTATTTTGAGAAGAAAGGGTTCCAATTTGTGATAATAACCTATTTTGGTCTGGTATCAATATTCTGAGAAGAAAGGGTTCCAACTTGTGATAATAACCTATTATGGTCTGGTATCATTTTTTTGAGAAGAAAGGGTTCCAATTTGTGATAATAACCTATTTTGGTCTGGTATCGATATTCTGAGAAGAAAGGGTTCAAATTTGTGATAATAACCTATTTTGGTCTGGTATCAATATTCTGAGAAGAAAGAGTTCAAATTTGTGATAATAACCTATGTTGGTCTGGTATCAATATTTTGAGAAGAAAGGGTTCCAATTTCTGATAATAACCTATTTTGGTCTCGTATTCAATATTTCTATTTTAAACAAATCTTTTGAAAATAGCACAGAGCAATGTTTGTGGTTGTTTTATCAGCATTGACTGAGTAGACAATTAAACCTCAGCCCTTACTCTAGATGTAATTAACTCTAAAATAAAGACCTTAACTAGGAAACTGTATAATAAAGGTACACGTATACTATACTATTGAATACCTAATTTTCTTATATAAACGTGACTTCTCTGCCCTTACATGTAATTGTCTCCCCTGAGTAGGTGCGTCTAATGAAGCAAGTGAAAGATGAGGCTGGGAAATCCCGACAGACAGAACTACGGAGGAACAAAGAAGTCACACAGCTGAGGAAGGAACAACTCAAAAAGGAGAACATCATTCGCTCGCTGGAGAAGACCAACAAACATAGAGAGGTTGTCCTGAAGAGGAAACAAGAGGAGGTACGTAACTGCACACCACTCTAACATAATACGTCTACCTAATGTGCATCACCTTTAAGTTAATTATCCCCTGGCAACGAAAGTTCAAGGGGATATAGGATTCCGCCTGTACGTACGTACTTACGTATATACGTATATTACACTCTTCGTCATCGCTCCAGTGACTTCATTCCTCAACGAAATTTCATGAAACTTGACAATACCTTGAACCAGTTCTTGTTTCGGGTTTCTACGTTGAAGGTCAAGGTCACTGTTACTTTATTTTAGAAAAAGCTTTGTCATCGCTCTAGCGACTTCATTTCCTCTTACATTTGTCACAATGTGTGAATGCGAGGGGATTTGTATCACTTGTGATGCCATGCTTATTTTAAGTTTTCTTCAAAATTGTCAAAAGTCAGTAGACATCTACATTACAAGTAATATCTCAAATGTAACAAAATGAAAATAGCTATGAGTGGAAAGCCAAATATATCTCGACAACTTACAATAATCTGAAATAAATAGTTACTAAAATACGGAAAAAGATGGTTTTGAATGACTGGTTATAGTTATTTCCTATACAATTTTTCTTAAAGATTTTGAAATATGTAATATTTTAATGTTTTGTGTACTGAGATTGTTGTGATTCGTAGGACTAATCTTGTGTCGCCTAATATCATAATAACGTTTGTAGAACTGCTTTACTGGATCGTATACTTATGTTAACATTGGTACAGGCAAAGTTTCCTTTTCTTGTACCCTCCACAACAAAGTTACGGTGTTTACTGGAATCGGGTTGACTTTAGTCCGTCTGTAGACACAATGATGTTCTCAGAAAATCCATTTTTTTGGGGTGCACAGCACTGTTGATTCAGCAATTGACTAGCTGTAGTGTCATTAGGAAAAAGATTGGATATTATCCATTAGTAAAGAGTTAGAGATGAGCAAGTGCACTCAACCAGACCATATATATGCTAAACCATTTGAGGTCGTTCATATATATATGCTTGCATTTGATCTACCCATATTCTGAAAGCATGACGTCTTATTATAAGGTGAAGGTAATTATTATAATAAAGGTTTATTGATTAACTCATTCACCCCTACAGTTTTAAACTGGACTTGCCCAGTCTTTGATTTGGTAAGGTTCAAATGTGACTTTAGGGGTGAATGGGTTAAGAAGTGCCTGGAAATAAATTATGCATTTTGTATCTCAGACCGAAGGTTGTCATGACTCCCTCCGTAGTGTTAATAACTAGATCAATTCATCCATAGATTGCTGTACAGAAGCATTCTCGTTATAAGTTCCTGAAGGTGTTTCTGCTATATTTAAGTTAGGTCGTGAATAAGATGTTACTGAAGGTTTACTAGTTAGGCCGTGTATAAGGTGTTTCTGCTATATTTAAGTTAGGTCGTGAATAAGATGTTACTGGAGGTTCACTAGTTTGACTTTGATTTGTAGCTACAGGAGGTAAGTGTGTGAAATTGTTACCTTGTGTTTGCACCAGGCAATCGTCGTCATCTACTCCGTGTTATAATAGCAGATAGAATTAGACTACATATTTAAGGAAGGGATGGAATTAGATTATAGGTTAAAATAGGAGATGGAATTATACTACATGTTAAAATAGGGGATGGAATTAGGTTTACATTAAAATAGGAGATGGAATTATACTACATGTACATGTTAAAATAAAGGATGGAATTAGGTTTACGTTAAAATAGGGGATGGAATTATACTACATGTACATGTTAAAATAAAGGATGGAATTAGGTTTACGTTAAAATAGGGGCTGGAATTAGATTTACGTTAAAATAGGGGATGGAATTATACTACATGTACATGTTAAAATAAAGGATGGAATTAGGTTTACGTTAAAATAGGGGATGGAATTATACTACATGTTAAAATAAAGGATGGAATTAGATTTACATTAAAATAGGGGATGAATTACACTACATGTTAAAATAGAGGATGGAATTAGATTTACATTAAAATAGGGGATGGAATTATACTACATGTTAAAATAGAGGATCGAATTAGATTTACGTTAAAATAGGGGATGGAATTAGACTATACATTAATATAGGGAATGGAATAAGACTACATTTCTACATATTAAAATAAAGGATGGAAGTAGATATATGTTCAAATAAAGGATGGAATTAGACTACAGGTTAAAATATTGGATGGAATGAGATTTGTATTGAATCAGGGGGAGCAGGTGCTAAGGACCCTATCTTGTAAAACTTCATTGGATTATGTAAGTTAGCTAACTGGAGGTCATGACAGAGCTAGCCAGATTCTGATATCTTTGACGATTTGTTTGAGTTACACATTTTACATTTTCAAAAATTTTGTTTTCTTTCACTTTGTTTACTTTTCTTTAGAATCTTTTGATTAATGATGAATTTCTATGCGAAAAATGTTCCACAAATTGTTTACCAATTCAACCGTTTTAAAGAGGGGTGTTGGCCTCATCATTACAGTTTTTACAGGGAAATGGCATGTCTCATACAACCTGTTCTAGTTAGGAGCCATAATTGTATCATTTGGGTTGAATTTTGAATTTTGAAGTAGATTTTGGTCTGTTTTTTGGTGCAAGTGTAGTCATATAAATATCTGTTGCAACTGTGAAACTTAATAAGTGTATATAAATATAATAATTGTATTTAGTATATTACATGCTGGGTAAAGGGACCAACAGGTATACATACAGTATAAACTTAACATACACATATATATAGATATACCCTATGTGATGTGATGGTGGTGTTAGCATACATGTTAAAGTACAGAATAGATATTTTATTAAAAGGAGGCAAATGACTACAGGAAGTCAATGAGAAAAATAGAGACATTCAAACAGGTATTTTATAATGATCCCAATGGAACCAAGGGACTCTGTTAGATGTACCAGAGATGTGTGTGTCACTTTATCTTAATCAATCATTCACGATAAAAATGTTCATATTTCTTCAATAACATTTATCAGTTTGGAAATATGTGATATCAAAGTTTTACTTTCTACACAAACAATGTATATATTAAATGTGTAGCAATGTTTCAAGACTGACTGGTCCCTTTGTCATTTTTTATGTCACTCGTGTATACACATTGCAATCAAAATTAGGAAATTTCAGAACATGAACAGAGACGAGGGGGGGACACCAGTTGAGTCATCTGTATGACCCAATACTGACATAACAGGGGAGGGGGCTAGATCTACACCCTACCTGTAACCTATCTGATTCAGTGTGTATACGCTCCCTATCGATCAGCGAAACGTCCGGGGTAGAGTGACATAAAAAATATACAATTTCACTACAGGCAAAAAATACAAATCGCTCACTCAGTCATAGTTTGACAAAGAGACCAGTCTGTCTTGAAACATTGCGACATGTTTAAATCGTACATTGTTTGTGTAGAAAGTAAAAATTTGATATCAATGTTCATGTTGATCCAATTTTTATTGATCTGCTGTGTTCAACCATATAATGACACAGTGCACTTAAAATAATATCTGACGTGATGCATTCTAAACACAATAGACATACTTCTGTTGTCAGTGATTGTATAAATTAAGGTTACAGTTTAATTGAGAACAAAGGACTTTGATATGTGTGCTGACGGCCTGCGTTTGTGTAAATGTAACTGTCGTACAACTTATAACGGTACAGGTTACATATAATGACGCAAGTACTCATCTACATTGGTGATAGGGTCGTATATATAATCGCCTGTTAATGTCTTGAAAAACTCTGTGTTCACTTGTTTAGCACTGTGGTGACCAGCACCCTGTGATGACAGTGTCAATGGTTTTCTTTTGCACCAGTGACTGGCATGGGGAGGCAAACATTTATTTAGATTACCATGTAGATCTGTTAATAAAATTTTGAAACTGTAAACGAAAAATGGAGATGTATGCCTGCAAGATTATTAAAAGTGATAACAATATTATAATAACATCCAGTATAATCAGAGTTCACTATCTTGTAGTTAACTGTTTGAACTGCAGATGTATCTTTTCGAGTGGAAAGAATCATATTTTGACTTGATGGTTTTGTCTTATGTATGAAGATGTTAATTATTTGTTCAGTTAATATGTTTCGTGAAGCTGTGTTTATTGGTTTGGAAAGAATCTCACCATCATCATCATCATCATCATCATCTTGTGTGTTACAGTAAAAGGTTCTAAGGACTATGTATTTACCTGTAGTCAACTGTAGGAATAACGGCTACATAATCTTGCAAATTTAGAATTTGATTTTACATTCCAGGTTGAGTCTCTGAGGAAAAAGAATGTACCAAATATGTCGGCCAGAACAGCTGGTCGTGTGGGCAGATATGAGAGACCGGTAACGATACCTATAGGTGAGAACAGGTCTGGCATTCTGTCTCTGATGGTGACTGTTAGCTCCAACCTCCCTACCACATATATGTGTTAATAGGTGATATTTATATTGGCCAAGTTATGAAACCGAGGTCTACACATTGTTATAAGATAATGGAAAGTTCTTTTGTGTATTATATGTGTTTATAGTAAGTCACCTGTATTTTTGCATGTCAACATGTGATGACCTCCATGACCTATGCAGATTGTAGTATATTTCAGAATATCCTGCATATTGCCCACCATTATCATATGGTGGGCTATTCAGATCGCCCTTTGTCTGTGGTCCTTTGCCTGTCCTTATACAATTCTTGTTATCGCTACTTACAAAGTACTGAACTGCTCTTTCTCAAACATGTGATTGTTCCCCTTGGTTCCAAGATTGGAAAACAAGATGGCCACCAGGCAGCCATCTTGAATTTCAAAATTACCTTTAAAGCTTCAAATATTAAAATACTCAATAGAAAAGACATACTAGTAACTATTTTAAAATAGAAAAGACATACCAGTCACTATTTTAACAGGCAATTTTTTAAAGTTAAATGCCATACAATTGATTTTGATGACTGGAAAGTTACTTTACTTAAATAACCCGGAATTAGAAGGCCTGCGTTTTGCTTACCTTGATCCTTACTTCATTGCAGAACTTGGCAGGTATATGTAAACCATCAGTTGCTACATATAAAGGAAAGGTCTTATGTATTGTATGTATTGATGTTGCAGGTCCATCGTCGACCAGGAGACGGAGGCGAGGAGATTTCTCAGCCAAAGCTGCAAAACAGAAATGGGATGCCATTGAGAAAAATGTAAGCAGAAGTCCCTCTTGTGAATAAATCATTTCTGTTATTTGAGATAAGTAACTAAATTCCTAGCTCAGCTGGTCCAGTCCTTCAGATATTACTTCCTGAGTCGTAACATGGAAACAGTTGAGATCCCCAATCCCCAATCCATTTATATGTGTTTAAAATTGATGGGCGAGAAGAAATGAATACACTTTTGTCCTTAGTGTCTTGCCTGCCACTAGGGATTTATTCTTCATTACAGCAGATTTCTTGGACTCATTTGATACACAATACACATGGTATTCAACAGGTTTTAAATCAAAAGTAAAACTCCAAGGGAGCTATTAATTAAGACCTCTGGGCCTCTCATTTAAGCTCTTATACTTTCATATACCTTACTGTTAGATTACGAAAAATTGATGATTGATTTTGTTTGTACTTTACAGATAGGATCTGTGATAAATAAAAAACAAACTATAGTATACATGGAACGAGACATGGAGGTCTGGCTGAAGGTAAGTGCCTCTTTATATGTACACATTGTTCAGTCTGTTTAACTCATTCACCCCTGAAGACACATTTGATCTTTTCCAATTCAAAGGTTCGAATAGTTCATTATGAAATTTCAGGGGTGAATGAGTTAAGGCTCTTACCTTATTTCTATCATGACAAGAGTTGTCTGTCAGTGAGACGGAGGACCTAAAGGTTTGTACTGGGGATCTACTGGTTTCAGTCCGGTCCAAGGCAATGTTCTGTTAGTAATTTCTAAAGAGACTATTATGGGCATGGGATTACAGAATCCTCCACTCCCTTGAGATAATATTCTCATTGAGGCATGCTTCAACCAATCTGATGGTGGTTGGCAATAGGGAAACAACCAGACTTATGGGGGCTGGATATTGAGGGAAACAACCAGACTTATGGGGGCTGGATATTGAGGGAAACAACCAGACTTATGGGGGCTGGATATTGAGGGAAA